GACTTTCCAGTCTCTGGAACTGTGAGAAAATAAATTTGTTGCTTAAGCCATGCAGTCTGTGGTATTTTGTTATTGCAGCCTGAGCTGCTTAAGATGCAAGTCAAAGGGAGCAGCTTTGACAGAGTGCTCTAAACTTTCAATGTTTTGACAGGTCAAAGAACAACCTGAACTCCCGGGATGAAATTCGGTTTCATGTAAACAATGGCAGCTTCAAGTCTATAAAACTGTAGTTAATAGTCTATACAAAAGAATGATATAGAAGTTGTGAGTAAAATGCACCGCCCGCATCCTCTTCCAGGGCTGTAAGGAAATGTTGTGCTTTTGCGAGTTTAGAAAATTTAAGGCATAGCCAGAGTATCTGGAATTTCTACTGACTTGAGAAGCCACGGTACTACAGGAGGCTGTGGCACCATGAAGGGAGCAAATTGATAAGGATGTGTCCCACATGTCCACCCTGCTCAAGTCTACTGCACAACTCAAAAACGGCTGTCTTGGTCACTGTATGCATTACCATTAAGAAAAAAAGACATCTATTTGAAAAAAAAGTGATCAAAACCCCACAATGGAGAATATTCCATTTTTTTGTGACTGCTCCAAGTACTTCCTCTGAGAGGAACTAAAGACACAGATGAAGGTCAGGCCAGCATTCTGGTTTATACTAATGGCCAAATACGAAAGAAAAGCAGCAGATGTCCCTAAGAGATTTCTTCCTTCTTGAAAGATGTATTCCTGGCAGAGAAATATCAAACACACAAAAAATACAAGAGGAAACAATTGAATAAAACAAAAAACATGGGGCTGGCCCGGTGGCGCAAGCAGTTAAGTGTGCGCGCTCTGCTGTGGCGGCCCGGGGTTCGCCGGTTCGGATCCGGGCGCAAACCGACGCACCACTTGGCAGCCATGCTGTGGCGGAGTCCCATATAAAGTGGAAGAAGATGGGCACGGATGTTAGCCCAGGGCCAGTCTTCCTCAGCAAAAAAAGAGGAAGATTGGCAGATGTTAGCACAGGGCTGATCTTCCTCACACAAAAAAAACAAAAAACATGAATCCTACCCACAATTGGCCATTTTAAATTTGAATAATTATCTGGAAAAAGGATAATATCAAACTAATAGTTAGGTGGTAGATGATGACTCTTTCCCAGTTGGAATATAGTGAACAGGGAATTTACATCATAGTCAACAAAAGATGTGGAGAAAAATCAATGGCATCTACTACGTTATATATAACTCCATGAACTCAGTGGCAGAAAAATTCACTTGAAGAATGGTGAATGTAGCTTTGCTTGCTGTATGTGTTCAGATAGATTAAATATTTGGATCCCACACCCAGTCTTGTCAATTATGCTTTTAATTGGTGTTGACCCAGGGTGCTGCCCCTGGAGCCCAGTACACAGCCTGTAGAAGTGTCTGTGTGGCTTGGGATAGATCAGAGATAAGAATCAGCAGCCTGTGGACCAATCTATCAGGCACATAGATTGTGTTTTATTAATTTGAGCCAATGCTTAAAAATAAGTAGGTTTCACATAAAAATGTGCATTTCTATCTTATTCCAGAAATTCAGAAGACCTAGCAACACTGGGATGAAGCTAGGATGCAACTGTTCCTTTTTGATAGGGCAATGTGCTCTCCTTCTTATACCTGTTCTGGATTGAACAGGTGCCCCCTTCCCCCCAATTCATATATTGAAGCTCTAAGCCCCAGTGTAATTGTATTTGGAGATAAGGCCTTTAAGGAGGTAACTAAGATTAAATGAGGTCATAAGGGTGTGTCCCAACCTGATGTCTCCCTCCTCCTCCTCCTCCTCCTGTGCGCACTTGCACAGAGGAAAGCCATGTGAGGACACAGCAAGAAGGCGGCTGCCTGCAAGCCAGGAAGAGAGGTCTCACCAGGAACCAATCCTCCTAGATGTCGATCTTGGACTTCCAGCCTCCAGAACTGTGAGAAAATAAATGTCTGTTGTTTAAGCCGCTTAGTCTGTAGCATTTTGTTATGGCAGCTCAAGCTCACTAACGCACAGCTCACACTCTGGATGTGAGAGTTATCCGAGAACTCCACCCCGTGGTTCACCCTCCACATCCACCATCTGACCACTTCTCCAAGCACATTCCCTCCCCATTCCTACTAAACTGCTCTAGTTCCAACTCCATGATCCCATCTGGATCTGCTGGTTTCTAACTGGAACTTTCATCTGATCTCCACCCGGCCTCTGCACCCCCTTGAAATTCAGCCACCCCACGCCTGAAAGAATGCTCCACCTGAAAGTTAAAATGGGCGTATATCACTCTTGCCATTAAGCCCTCATTGTCGTGGTGGCTCCCAGACTCTTGTGCTCTTAGCACCGTGTCGGGTACTAAGTCCTGTGCAGGAAACAAAGCTCAGGTCATTGGGATGGACCCATGGGGGTGTCAGAGCACATCAAGGCCCCCATGAAGCCATGCAGATTGCAATAAAGTGCTATATTAGATGTGCAAATAGAATTCAATATGGGCGCAAGGGAGTTAAACATTTATTCCCACCAGAGGACGCTGGGCAGGTCTCCTGGAGGAGGTATCATTGTGGAAGATGGGACTAGCCTCCGGCTAGTGGGCATGGACTAAGGAAGGGCCCTGAAGCAAGTGTGTCCTTTCTAAGCCTGTGAGTTCTCTCCCCAGGGCCAGGCCCTCAATGCACATTTCCACAATAAATAAGTGAATGAGGTCAGTGAGCAAGATAAATGGCTATTAAACACAATGGCAGCAGAAGCAAGCATTTGAGGATATTAATGATCAGTAAAATCATGCTTCTGATTCAAAGATTTCCAGCTAAATCCATCCTAAATCCTAACAAAACCGAGAACCTTTCTGTGTTTAATTTAAATCTATACAGGGCCGGCCCCGTGGCTTAGCGGTTAAGGGCACGCGCTCCGCTGCTGGCGGCCCAGGTTCGGATCCTGGGCGCACACCGACGCACCGCTTCTCCGGCCATGCTGAGGCCGTGTCCCATATACAGCAACTAGAAGGATGTGCAGCTATGACATACAACTATCTACTGGGGCTTTGGGGAAAAATAAATAAATAAATAAAATTATAATTTAAATCTATACAAAATCTGACAAACAATGTCAATTGATATAACAGTTTGTGTTTCACTGTTGATATCACTGGGTGGAAGATAAAATACACTTTCCCCCAAAGTGTGAGTCTCCAATTCAGTGTCATTTCAGATATGATGCTGATCTCCAAGCTACATTAGGCTATGAGATAATGTCTAAAGAGGACAGCCATTCAACATGTGGTACAAGAAACTGGCTCTTTAGAGCCCATCATTCCATTCTTTAGATCTTATCTTCCAGTTCCCCTTCACAGAATCATAAGTTTACTAATTTTTATATATATCAAGCATCTTCTGCTTCAAATATCCTTTTTTCCCCAGTATTTCTGTTCAGGTGTACGATCACATTAAATCTACTCTCCCAGAACTCTAGACCTTATTTATTTTATTCTTCACTTATTTCTTGAGACCACAATCCTCTCTTTTTTGAGTTATTTTAATCTGATGTATTAAAAAAAATTTGGCTGGAGTAATTTCCAATTAATTTCTTTCCAGAAAAATAAGTGGATGGAGTATACTTTGAGCACTTGTATATCCAAAAATCTATTTCACCCTCACACACAAACAATGGTTTCACAAGGTATGAAATTCTAGGATTACAATTATGCATTTTCAGACTTCTGGAAACATTGCTCTGTCATCTTCTAGAAGTTAGCACTGTAGATGAGAACTCTGCTTCTGATTCGGTCCTCTTCCCTTTTCAGGTAATCTGTTTATTTATTGTTTCTTCTTTGTTTCTTCTGCCAAATTTCCCTTTATCTCAGAATTCAGGTATTTCACCAGGATACAGCAGCCAGGTTTGTGTTGTTTTAATTTACTCTTGCAGTGGGTGAGCTCTTTCAAACTGAAAACTTAATTGCTCTATAAATTTTAAATAAAAGTCGCATTCATTTAGAAGCAGGTATCTTACTCAAGTCATGGAACAGGTTCTTTCCCTATGCACAGCAGAGCACAGAACTGAACAATTATTCTTCCCTATATCACAAAATTGGGTCAAAAGCCCACATCCTAAATATATATATTTTTTGCCTTATAATTTAAAAAGCGACAAGTTGCATCAGGAATTCATGATTTTTTTCTTTGATTCTACACTAGAGTGCATAGAAAATGTCCTCCAGTCGTTAACTTATAGAAGCACTGCTAGGCTTGCTACAGCGAAAGCTCTGAGAAAATACTAGCAAATCATGCAGTTTATTACTTTAAAACGCAGCTGACCTTGTGCCCTGTTTCCTGCATGTATTAGCAGAGCGAACAGCTCCTGGGGGCTTGCCACGCCATTTTGCTTCTGGTTCTGAAACAGGAGCAAACATTCCGAGAGCCCCAGGGGTGAACTTCGTGAAACAGAAGTGCCATATCTTCCGCTGTTAAAGTTGTTTCTCAAAAGAGAACAAGCCACACCTACGGACAACTCGGCTATTATTCTGTGATTATAATAAAAGCTTTGTGGTCAAGCTGAAAGGCCTGATAAATCTCCTCTCTTTGTGTTCTTAAAACAAAGTGCAGCCTGACTACTACTGTTGCAGGAAATGAGACGCTCGAGTTAGCCATCCCTGTGGATTACGTACTGTGGAAATAAATCACTTGAGGGGGGAAAATTCCCAGAGAAGCTTATTAATTAGTAATAAGTGTGCAAGTGGCCAAAATCACAAGGTGTGGAAAAGAGCAAAATCACCCGGTAGTGTGTTCTCGGCCAAATCACTGAAGTAAATACTGTCCGTGTAAAAATCATTCTACTGAGATGTAAGCCAGACAAACCGCCCTGGATCACGTCTGCGGCCGTCGCCCACCCTGTGCCGGGACTAGAGGGCCCCCCACCTCGGGCACTGCCCCCGGAGCCGGGAGGCGCGCGCTCGGTCCCTCCTGAGCTCGCGCGCTCGGGCGAGTGGGGCGCGCGCCGACGGCACCTACCCAGCAGCAGGAGCCGGTGCGTCTGCTGCAGGTCGCGCTTCTGCTCCCGGAGCATGCGGTCGATGCTCCTGCTGACTTTCCTCGCCTCCCGCTCAGCCTCGCGCTCCTCGGCGCGCAGCTGCTCCGGACGGCGCCTCTCATTCGGGTCGGCTTTGGGCCGCGTGCACGCCGGGCTCCCGCCGGAGCCCCGAGGGAGGAGGGTCCGGGCATCCGGAGCCGGGGCCGGGGCCGGGCCGGGCCGCGCGCCCTCCGCGGGCGGTTCCGAGGCCGCGCAGGGGGCGTCCCCCGGGTCCCCGAAGAGCAGCGGCCGCAGACTGTAGCACAGACCCATGTGAGCGCAGGGGGCGCGGCGGGACGCGGGACCGGCTGAGAGCCGGGCTCAAGCCCGGGCACCGGCGGAGGGGCAGGAGGGGGCTGCACCCGGCTCCGGCGCGGCGCTGCCGCCTGCAGGCTTCGGGGCGGGGGTGCGGCGGGCCCAGGCCGAGGGCCACAGCTCCTCACTGCCCCCGAGGGCCATTTTGCATTTTCAGCTAGGTGCAGGGGTGGCGGCCGCCTCGGCTGGAGATCACCTGATAACGCGGAGAGCCGGCCGCGCCGACGGGCCTCCGCGAGCCCAGCCCCCCTTACCGTAAATCCCGCCGTCCGCGCTAGCACTCGTTACCGTAAATATCGCCGCCAGGGCTGGCTCCCGATACCGTAAATACCGCAGCCTTGGCTGGTCCTGGTTACTGTAAATACTGCCGCCAGGACCATCTCTAGTTACCGTAAATATCGCCTCCTGGGTCGGACCCCGAGACGGTAGACACGACCGCGCGTGCGGGTCTTTGATACCGTAAATACCACTGCCCTAGCACCGCGCGCAGCTGCGGACGGTGCCGCAGTGGCGGTGGCAGTGCGGTCACCACTTGGAGCTGCCATTGCAGCACTTAAAAAACCCCTCTTGCTTTGATCTTGGACAGTGGTAAATAAGAACAGAAAGCCAAGTGAAGGGATAGAGATGCTAGCTTTAAGATCTTGATTCTCGAACGCATACCTGCAGAGATCTCAGCCCCTTGCTGCTCCTTTTTCTGCTCACTTACATCTTACACACATGTACATACGTCCAAACACTTTTGATCCTGACCCTAATACTATTATACCTTTGATCTCAACAAAATCTCCAAATCAGAAGGTCCAATGACATAATTTTCAACAATTTCCACACAATAAAAAAATTGAAAATGAGCACATATAATTGTCATATACTATTTATATTTACTAAAACAAGAACATGAAATTGCACATTGTATCCTATTTTTTAATCCACAATATAGCACAGAGAGGAGCAAAGGTGTATTCAGACTGGGTGTCCTCTCTCCAGGCCTCATATGGATACAAACCCACCAGAGAGCCCAACTTTCTTGGTTATTTCCTACTTAATGTCCATCTTCTTATAGAGCTTTTGCAACAGATGAAAATTTCAACATAGCTTTTAAGAAATCTGCTATAACACGTGTTCCTTAATTTTGAGCAAAATGACATGGAATATTATAACAGGTAAATATATCTAACATAAATCCCATTAATACAGCAGATTAGGCTGTTTAATGCAACTCAGCATGTACCAGTGTACACTGTACCACTTGGCACTTGGTGTAAACATTACACTAGATTAAATTTTTAAATAAAGAAATTGGAGATTCATGATTCACATTTATTTTAGGGCCCTGTTAACAACACGTATATATACCATGCAATGTTTTGGACCTAACACAATCCCAAAATTTTTGCCAAAATTATGCTGTACTTTACATCTTTGAGTAGGAGTAAAAAGGAGGACTATAGAAAATCTAACTTGGGAAAACAGAAAAAGTTACTAAATATCACTGTCATTTTCACATCCATTCACTTACCCATCCTCCGTTTATCCATTCATTTATCTAGTATTTATCAGGCACCAACAATGTGCTATTTGGTTGGTATCGGGTGAGGCAAAAGACAGCGGTCCTTGTGGAGTGTATACACTAGTGAGGTAGAAATCTGTTCAATCATATAAACACAAGTCAATATATCTATTATATATTGCAAATTACACAAGTGCCATGAAGAGAAAAAATAGGGTTTTCTGAGAAGTAATAAGGGAAGCTCCAGTTTAAATTAGAAGGGGAGAGAGTTTGTGTATGATTCAGGAAAGGCTTTTCAGAGGAAGGGATATTTGAACTGAGACCTGAGGGATCCATACTAATTCCTTTTCTGTTATAACTTATTAGCTAAACTTTATCAACTAGTTTCATACGAAGTGGATAACATTTTGTTTATATATTAAACAAGCCACCTGAAAATAGAAACAGTTTTTAAGTACATAGATTAAAGTGTACCTAAATGAGAATTCACTTACATTTAAGAGTTTACTTGGTAGGAGAAATAGAAGACAATGTTCTCTCTACCCTACACAATAAACTGAAAAAAATTCTTAGTATCCTATTAAAAGAATCCTAGGAAAAAAATGCTCTGACCATTTGCACACATTTCAGTTTCTTTCAAACACTTTTAATTATGTACTAATTATTTTAAAAAATGGATTATGTGGTATATGCATAGGATAAATTAGAATAAAATATTTAATATTTATATATCACTATTAGTTAAATTGAATGTTTCCTCTTTAGTCAAGAATGATTTTTAATTTACAAATCACTGGGTCATATAACTAAGCAATTTCTAATGTCAAAGAATGATTATGAATCTGAAGATAGAAATCATGAGGGGACTCTAAAGTAAATGTAAAATTATAGCATATTAAGGGGCTGGCCTAGTGGTGTAGTGGTTAAGTTCGTGCTCTTGGCTTTGGTGGCCCAGGGTTGTGGGTTCAGATTCCGGGCGCAGATGGGCGCACTGCTCTTCAAGCCATGCTGTGGTGGCCTCCTGTATATAAAATAGAGGAAGATGGGCCCAGATGTTAGCTCAGGGCCCATCTTCCTCAGCAAAAAGAGGAAGATTGGCAACGGATGTTAGCTCATGGCCAATATCCCTCACACACACACACACACAAATTATAGCATGTTAAATTTAAGGTGTAATTTTATATTTAATCTTAACTGCTTCCAGTACAACTATTTCATTCTGAATCCCTCTTCCTCTGAACTTCCTTTCTAAGAGCAAACAGAATTATGACACAGTGAAAGGTTAAGGTCTTTGTATGGAAAGCATATTTAATTGATGAAAGTGGCATTTTGTTATTGTACATTTTGGCACATTTGACACTGTTCCATTGGAAACTTAAGTAAAATTATAGAAAGGAGTTAAGACCAGTTTGGCTTCCTCCTCCACAAAATTGGAGCTATATTTGATTAGTATGATATGTAGTCATAAGAGATTCATCAAATAACACTACATCCTCAAGAATGCAATAATAATGTAGCTATTAAAAATGAAGAAGGAGGGCTGATTTCCTATCGTGCTGGATTTCTCAACTTTGGGACTATCGACCTTTGAGGCAGGATAATTTGTTTTGGAGCGGGCTGTCCTGTGTATTGCAGGATGTTTAGCAGCATCTTTGGCCTCTACCCAGTAGACGTCAGTAGCACCCTTCCCCAATGGTAACAACAGAAGAATGTCTGCCGGTATGCCAAATGTCCCCTTAGGCAAAATTGCCCCCAGTTGAGAACCATGACTGCAAGAGACTGGCAGAGCTCAGCTGGACTGATCTATTAAAAAATCTGATACTTATATTTCCTATTTGAATGCACTAGAGAGTAACCAGAGTGAGTTTACCCTTGAAAGATAAGTACAATGGATAAGATTTGTAAGTTTATGGTTTTTGCCTGAGAACACTCCCCAATCTGCCATCAGTGGGCAGCATAAAGCCACAGTATTACTGGCAAGACTGGCTATATCATTTGTGGGGCCCAGTACAAAATGAAAATCCTATGCTGTTTGTTGAAAAATAAGAATTTCAAGACAGTGCTAGCAGAATATTAAACGGCATGGGTTCCTGTGTGAATTTGCAGGTCACATGCCCATGAAGCTCACCCCACTTACTGGCTTGAGATGTCAGAGAATAGAATTTGGAGCTGGGGGAACAGCCAGAAAGTTAGCAGTAAAATTCTAGAAGGGAGGGAACTTTAGAAGTGTGAGCCCCACAAATCTGTATATAAAATGTAGTCAAATCTTTGGCTGACTCCTAAAAAAGATGCACGCATGTGGAAGACCCTGATGGCCTGACGAAAACACCTAAAAAATCTAAAAGAATAGAGCAAAGATTTCAAGGTTTTCTCCCTTCAGAAGAGACAGAGCTTGAGTCCAGCCAAGTTAATGGGTTTCTAGAACAAAACAAAACAAAATAAAAATCACTCAGAGAAATATAACAGAAAATAAAGTCTCTGAAACATATCATTCATAATGTTCAGTGTCCAATAAAAAAATCATTAGATGTGCACAGAGACAGGAAAATGTGACCCATAGTTAAGAGAAAAAGCAATAATATAAATTGATGCCCAGATGAACTAGATGTAGCAATTAGCAGACAAAGAATTTAAAGCAGCTATTACAAATATGCTCAAAGATTTAAAAGAAGATGTACACATAATGAATGAACTGAATCTCAGCAGAGAAATTGAAACTGTAAAAGAGAAGCAAATGGAAATACTAAAACTGAAAAGTACAATAACTGAAATATAAAATTCACAGGATGTGCTTAAGAGCAGGTTGAAGATAGAAGAACAAATTGATGAATTTAAAAATAGATCAATAGAAATGATCCATTCTGAAGAACAGAGAGAAAAAAACAATTGAAGAAAATGAACAGATTCTCAGAGGCCTGTTGATCAATATTATCTGGTCTAAAATAAGTGTAATTAGAGTCCTGGGAAAAAAAGAGAGAGAAAATGGTATAGAAATAATATTTGAAGAAATAGTGGCCTCAAGTTTCTGAAATTTGCTGAAAGACGTTAACTTAAAAATCCAAGAAACCCAATAAACCACAGGCAGGATTAATACATAGGAAAACATGCATGGGCACATATATAAAACTGCTGAACTCCAAATATGAGGAGAAAATCATAAAAGGAGCCAAGAAAAAAGAGACATTATGTGTAGAAAGCAACATATGAAAAATGTTATCTTTTCATCAGAAACAATAGAGGCTAAAAAGCAGCAGAACAACACAGTTGAAGTGCTGGAATACAGAAAAAAACTACCAACTCAGAACTTTATATCTTGGAAAGCTATACTTCAAGAATAAAGGTGAAAAAAGTTTAAGATTAAAGAAAATATGAGAGAATTGGGAATCAGCTGACCTGCACTATGAAAAATGCTAAATGAAACTCTTTAGGCTGAAGGAGTATGATACCAGATGGTAACTTAGATCTAGAGGAAAAATTAATATCAGCAGAAATGGTAAATATGTGAATAAATATAAAGACTATATTTTTTCTTTTTAGAATTTCTTTTAAAAACATAGGCCTATTGAAGGAAATATATTAATAGTATATTGTGGGTTTATAATGTATGCAGATGAAATATATGTGAAATATATATGAAAATGTTAAAAGGATGATGGTGGAGTATAAGAATTATAATCTGACAAATTTCCAATATTTTATGTAAAGTAGTATAATATTAACTATAAGTAGATTGTGATGTTACCAATAGAATTTTCAG